AGGTGGTGCAGGCTCCCACCCTGGGGGTTTTTAAGAGGAGGTTGGATGACCACCTTACTGGGGTCATTTGACCCCAGTGCTCTTCCTGCCATGGCAGGGGGTCGGACTAGATGATCTGCTCAGGTCCCTTCTGACCCTAGAAACTATGAAACTATGAAGAACGAGATCAAAAACTGAGTTAACAAGGTCATGCTGATGCAACCAAGCAAACTTCTGGGATGTATAATAAGTGCTTTATATGAGTCTCGCAAAGAGATTCTTCCATTTTACTCAGCCAGTGGTAAGGGCTCAGCTGCAGGAATGTGCTCAGATTAGAACATCACACTTTAAGAAAATTGCGGCCAACTGGAGAGAATCCAGAGGACAGCACCCAAATGATAAACGGTCTAGGTAAGACTGAGGTGCCTGGCAGACATTAAAATGATTGCACAGTTGGAACCTGAGGAGTCTTATGCCCAAGCCCCAAAATCATACATCCTACCAGGATATACAGTTTTGGGGATTGAGGATAAAATTCCTGACAGATCTAAATTGCACAATTGCAAAGCTGGGGAGCCCCTGCCTCCTCACTGGGCAGGGGAGAGCCCAAGTCCCAGGGCCAGGATGAGGGCTGCCTCTGGATCAGGTAGGGGAGAGAACCAGGTGCCAGAGCTCAGGCTATTTATATGATTTTTATTTTATGACTGTAAAAGATGTATGATTTAACATGTTTTACATTTGTATTAAGTATACTGTAGATATTTTCAAGAATTTCAGATGTCAAATTTTGGGTGAAGTGATGCAATATTTTTAATAATTATAAAAAAGTGACAGAACACAGCTTAGTATTGTATCTGAAGGGAAGATAAACATTTAAATTCCTGGAAAATCATTTAAAAAATTCACTAAATATAGAGATTTTTCCATGACATTGCTTTTTTTTATTTCTTGGGCCAGAATTGCAAATGCTTTAGGGTGAGACTCGGTGTAGAAATCTAAGTCATTGGTTAGACAAAGTAAAAAATAACTACCCCCATACCCTATAAAACCATAAGAAATTATGTGCCCCTTGAGTGCTAAAAGAGAAGAACAACTGAAAGACCTGGTGGTCAAAATCCAGTTACAGATATTTGATGTCTTCCTCATTTGTTACAAGATAGAAAAGGAGATTTGAGTGGAGGGGGAGGACAGCTAAACAAATTTGTAGCTTTAAATGGAACAAACTCAAACTGGCCACATGGTGGTGCCCACCTACAGCATTAAAAGCTAGTGTTTTGAGCAAATCCCACACCCTGGTCTGAGAATACATTTCTTCGAGTTAAAATTCTTAAAAATAACCGTTGCAGCCCAGCAAGAGTGAAGAAACACTGAAGTGATGCATAGCTTAGGGATAGTTTTGACCCTGTCCTGGTTCCCTGATCAGTCCCATTTTTTTATATGTGCCTCCAATAAAGATCTTGTAAAGTACAAAACTTATCCTTGTGTATCCCACTCTGAGCTTGAAAACAAAATGGCATTAAAGAAATGTTGGCTTTTCTAAGAAAAGCCAAGATGATAGCATCTCCTTGCTGTATGTGAACCTAGGCAATGGTGAGAACAGAATCCACTGTTGGGATAGTGCCTGGTCCACACAGCACAGCTGCTGTATTTTGAACGTTGAGGTTATTAGAAGCAGTCCTGAGAAATTCTGCCAAATTCTGAGTTTTACACCAAAGGTCACAAGTTGGGAAGATCTGCCTGCCCTGTTCTGAAGGTCAGTAGCCTGAAACCTTTATGACCCCTTTACTACAGCTTCAAGAATGAAGATAAAGAGCAAATTCCAGGCTTTTCTTCTAAGCTAACAGACTATGCAGTATTTAGAGGGGCTGCAAAAACAGCAGCTGCTGGTGCTACAGCTGGTCCAACCTCTCTCACCGCTGCTGCTGCCCAGTACTACTGCCACTGAGACTGATTAACAGGGCTCAGGGGATGCAGCTAGGATCAAAATTAGGCTCCTAAAACCATGTTTAGGCACATGGATTAACAAATACCCTAATTTTTGGAGGTGCCGAGTACTCTGACAACTTGTGGTTGCCGTTTCATTTTTACTTATTGTGCCCTGCTGTACCCTGTGATTAATCTTGTAAAACCATTGCTGCCACTTAACTGGCTTGAAACATTGTTTTCTAATGTGTCAAGAGACTACCACATGTGTGTTTAGGCCTGGCAGATCCCTATGCTTTTGACCACCAGCAAAACATCACCTTAGGAAAAATTGTGTCATCACAATACTTCACAAATGTCCTTATTCGGTGTTGTTTAAAACCGTATTGGGGTTATGCTGCTGCTGTTTATTTTGTGGTAATACTTGGACACCTTTGTAGCAATAGGAATATAGGCCTGGAAGGGGTCTCCTTGGCCATCGAGTCAAGTCCCCTACATTCACAGGCTTTTATTAACCAAAGGAATCCCCCGCATCACTTTAAATCCTCACCTAGAGCTGAAAGGCATGATACGTGAAACACAAAGCACTCTGTTATGTGCCACAGGTAAAAGTTGGGGAGACAAGGGCATTCCCAATGTCCTACTACTGCAGAAGTCCCTAGGAAAAGGACTAGCCCCAGTGCTGCAGAGGAAAGCAAAAGCCCCCAGAGTTTGTATCAGTCTGACCTGAGACAGATTTCTTCCTGACCCCAAATTTAGCAGTCAATATGACCCTGAACAGAAGAGCAAGGTTCTCTAACAACAAGCCTCTGGGTTGCTAGAGCTAGCCAGAACATCAGCTCACCTGAATCCCCCTGCCCTGCCTCCAGCCTTAGTAACAAAACATTTTCTTCGTATTGGCACTTTGGCCAGAGCTGTCTAGTTACAGTAGTCTAATAAAAGATATCACTTCTACCACACTGACTGCTTGTACTTTTAGACCAACACGGCTACAACCTGTCATGCAGAGACTGAAGAGGGTGTGGCCTAGCCCCAATGGGTGGGAAGGGGGCATGGCCCCACCCACCCAGGTTCTGCCCTGTGCCCTTCACAGGACTTGGGGTTTGGGAATTTGGCAGGGTGTGGGGGTGGCTATGTTAGTGGCCGCTTCTCCTCTACTGCCAAATGTCCTGACCCATGGGGAGCCCTGTGAGCCAGATCCAATGGCTCCATGGGCTGCATTGAACTAAATCAAGGAGAGTTTTACCATTAGTTTCATTGGCAGCAGAAGAGGCCCTTAATTTAAGTTAAGATGTAAGTCAACATAGTTATAAAAAGGAAAAGGGAGAAAAATGTGGCTGTGTGCCCATCTGATTTGTTCTGAAAAATGTAACTACCAGAAATCCCCACTATTCATCTACTTAAGTATTATCTATTGATGACTTATTTTAAGCATAAGAGCTATATTGTAGGGAAGGCTATGATCACAACAGAACCGGAGATAGGTATATCGCCTAGTTCAGAGAAGGTGGTCTTTGCATTAGGCTGCTATGCTGTATTAAATCAAAGGCCATCTTGTTCACCATCCTGCTTTCAGAAGGAATTGTGTTATTGATGACAATGGAACAAGAATGTCACCCCCTGCTATTGCAGGGGAACAC